TTACCAAGAAAACATATATTATATATAAGATTAATGACAATTATATTCATTTTACTTCTGTTTGCAAACAAACTACAAAAGATAACAAAATTAAAACAATTATAATAAGCAAAAATAGTGGGTGAATGATAAGCAGGTAAAAGAAGTAATATATATACTCACACACATATATAAACTATTATTAAATATATATAATAATAAGAAAAAACAATATTTTTTTTATTACTTCAAAAATTACAAAGAATCCTCAAAGAAAAACAAAACTAGGTTATAAAAAATATTACAAGTAATATATAGAACATGATAATCAGGTAAAGAAATAATATATATATGCACACACATACACATATATAAACTATTATTAAAAGTATATTTATTTTTATTATTATTTCAAAGATGACAGAGAAAAACAAGGCTGAATATTACTATTAAAGATTGGTCATTAAATTTACATGTAGGAAAGGATATTATTATTATGCCAAAGGAACTTTATACATTTAGATAAAGCTTTTATGGATGGAGGAAAAGAAGTGCTGATTGAAATTATGTCAGGAACTACTTTAATTTGAGAAGTTAAAGGTGGAATGGCTTCAATTAAATTAAAAGGTTTAATAGCCCATACTCATTATAAAGAACAAAAACACGAAATGGACAGAGAGCAATATTACCAAAGCCAAGAGTGAGACAAACCCAAATTATTGATGATAATACTCAATTCCATAGCAATATTGGAGAAACTAACCCTGACAAAGCCAAAGGAGAAAACCTGAAATGGAAAAAGACCAAGAATGAAGCAAACCCAAAAATTATGTATTTTAAATACAACCTTATAAGGAATTTATGTAAAGGAATGTTACTGAAAAAAACATATGCATAGCATTTATAATTATGCATCCTGCTTCATAATAAAGAATTCACATCTATGTTGGATGTTTAACCATCCTAAACCATTAATTAAACATATCATTTCAATGAAAGTTTTAAAAGGATAAATTATTTTATTTCTTTCTCCAACAATGTTGTGATTCAAAAATAATATTTTTTATTAATATTAATAAAGAAAACCAAATTCCTGAGATTAAAAACAAAGTTTATATTGTTTTAAAGTTGTATACATATATAAAAGCTTGTAAATAGTATGTGTAATGTTGAAAATACAAAGAAAAAATATTTTTTACAACTGATGGTATTTTTTTGAAGCTTTAGGAAAGATACTTTGAAAAAAATTATATCAAAAGAAAGCCGAAGATTTTTTCTTACAAGTATGAAAGTGTACAATATGTACATGTTTCACACTTTATTTATTTTTACTAGTAATTTCATAGGGGCGACAGTTTTGAAATTGAAAAATATATATATGTGTAACATTCAGTTGTCCCCCCATATATTTACTTACCCCTAGATATTATTATTGATTTTAATTATTATGTCGAAGATGTAAAAGGATAGCTATCCTTTTATATTAGTTGGAAAATGATAAACAAGATGAGTAGATGCCATGATTATTTTTGCAACTTGCCTTTTTTCCAAATTCAACTCACCTTTTCAAATTGATTATCATTTTAATGTGCAGTACAAAACAAAAGATGAGCAGCAATATTGCTATTATACAATTTAAAATGAAATGATTTATTTTTTTCAAATTGAGAATGTGGAAGCAACACAATCAAAAATAACTACTTCTATTACTATGTTGTATTCAATTTGACTCTTCTCCAAACAACTTATTTTGTTGTTGTTTTCCATTTTAAGAAACATATCATTACTATTATTATTATATATACAACCTTAAGATGATTATTTTTGAATGAAAATGATTTGTTTTTTCAATTTCATTTAGGAAACATGATTAAAATATCCTATTATGATAAATAATTCGATTTGTTATTATAGAAACAGTGTTGGCAATGACAGTTATTTAACTTTTGAACTGTCAGTTAAATAACCAGTTCAAAAGTTAAATAACCAGTTCAAAAAATCATTTGAACTTGTGAACTTTGGTTCAATGACATAGATTGATTGATTTATGTGCACAGAGCACATTGTCTAACCAATTTTGGAAATTATCCACAAATAATTAACAAATTGGGTTGGATAATACGCACGAGTTGGTTTCTATCACCTATATCTTTTTATTGTAAAATATGATTTCCTCTAAGCTGTTCCTGTGTACAGAATTGATAAAATTTTAAACCAAGGTGTAAATAAACATTGTTCTTTCCTAAAATCAAAGTTATTAACTCTGGATCCAGAAAACAGTACATATAATAATAATATTTGATACTGTTTTCCATATTTGTAATGAACTCTATCAAATAACTTGCATATTGGTTAAATAACTGCTCAGCAAAGTTCAAATGATCAGCATGTTATTTAACTAATTAACTGGTTATTTAACTAATTAACAATTCAAAAGTTCAAATAGTTCAAAAAAAGGTTTGAACCAGTTAAATTGCCAACACTGCACCCCAAGCTGTAATTGTATTTATATGCTCACAATGCGAAAGCATAATCCTGGACACTCTAACTTGAATTGTTGAATTTGATGTGGTCACGCCAAGTTTTAAACAAATTGATTAATAGCTTCTGGTGGGACACCATGTCTTCTTAAAGCTGGTAGTGTATATAGCCATGGATCATAAGGATACTGGCTGCAACTTTTGATGATGGTTGCTACCACCTTTGCGTCATATAAAAATGATTGCAACCACTGGTTGCAACTGCCTTTACTGCCATTTTGTTTCCTTTTTTGGGTTGCGACATGGAACACTAATGGATCACCCCAACCTTTTACATATTTTTCATTAACTAGTCTTGCTATTTTTCGTTTTGATAAAACTGTATGTTAATATTCAATCTACCAATCAACCAGTCAACCAACCAACCAACCAATTAATATATATGTATATTAGTTGTATAATGGTTTTTAAAAATTTAATAAAATAATGATAGTTAAAAAAAACCAAACCTGTTATACTCAAATTGAACAGGGTTTATATACTTCAAGAGCATCACATAACCAATAATAAGATTCACGAGCTGTCTGGAATTCAAATGTACAAAGTGGATGCATAATATTTTCAAAAGAGTCACAAAGACAATGTGTGAAATCATAAGTTGGATAAATACACCATTTGGTTCCAGTTCAGCATAGTGGACACTGTTGCAGATCACAAAAAAATGATCAACATAACATATGTTATGGTGAAAGTTTTTGCAAAAGTTTGATTATAAAAGTGTGAGATAATTTTGATCTTGCTGATGATCTGGACTTAGAGAGGCTACAGCTATATACTAGTGAAGTTTCAGAAGCAACGGACTCTGTGTAACCACCTGCATATTATACAAATGACTGTTGCACAAAACGAGTGTCCATTATGCTTTCCAGTTCTATAATGTGGTGTGTGCAAAACACAATATGCAACCAAATCCCAAAATTGTGGATTTCCACTTTGCATGTCCATCTTCATACAAATGGTTACCTCTTCTTCCTTGTACTTTCCCTCCTTCTTTTTTTGAAATTCAGCTAGTGATTCTTCAATTGGACAATTACAATGCACACACTCTTTATGTTCTGCATAATCATCACCACCTCACATCTGTTTCATTTCATTAGATGTACATGAACATGCATATGCTTTATCACACTTAATTAATTCTATTGCCAATTCATAAAAGTTGTCAAAATAATCAGAAAAATATGTGATCTTGTATGGTGAAAACCCTAACCATTCTATTGCCTCTCTAATAGAAGTAAAATAAATCTCTTCCTCAACTCTTATTAGATAAAACAATACATTAATATAAAATATATATGTGCATGTGCATTAAAATTTCTTTCTGATTAATTGATTGATTGATTTAAAAGTGTAAACAGGATTTTTACCTTCAGGGTTAGTGTCACCATATCTATTGGTGTTAATTTGTTATATAATAAGAGCAATATCATTGATAAGTTAATCATTTTAGTTTAATGTTATTGATTCAAACCTCAGATAACATATCCAAAATTTACATTGATAGCTTTTACATGACCAATATGTAAAAATCCATTAGGCTCTGGAGGAAATCAAGTTACCACCTTACCACCAACTTCTTTCAAATGTTGTTCCATTTAATTTGTGGATTACCACCTGGTTTATGAAGTTTTGCAAGATCTCCCTTGGTAAAGATGACAGGGACTGTATTGGTTTTTGATTTTACTTCTGATTGACTCATTTTTTAAATTTTTGATTATTTTTATTTTTTTAAAATTTTATTTTTTATGATTTATTTGTCAATTATAATAATATTAGCATTTGTTTGTAATAATAGAAATATCCCAATGCAACATAAATTCGGTTTGAAGAACCAGATTATTAAAAACTTTATCATATAACTATAGTTGGCTTTGAAAACACAAATGGGAAAACTATACTTGTGGGTGAAATTTTCAAAAGTATTTTCAACAAACGATACAAAATACTGAAAATCACATGATGTTTCTAAGTGCTGGGCTTGTGATTTACTTAAAGGAGAATGAAACATGGTTTTATGCTGATTTTTTGAACCTCCATTGTGGTACACAGTGAATCTCGATTTAGTGAATAGTTTGGGCAATTAGGGAAAAATCTGTTAAATCAAGATATCTACTATATTGAAAAGATTTTTAATTAATATCTGCTAAATTGAGGTTTGCTAAATCAAGATTTACTGTGTATAATCCTCATGTAAGTATGCTCTTCAGACGAATGGCTTGCTCTTGACAGCAGATTTTTATTCAAAGCAAAAGAGATAAATCCAACAAATTTGCGAGTAATGTATCTTTATATTTTGTTTAAGGGAGTTCTTACCTGCTTTATCCAGATTAAGAGTGTTGGATTTCATATCAACCCAAGTGATGGATTGGTAGAACTTCTATTTGCTTTTATCCAGATTAGGAGCATTGGTTCTCATCCAGCCACCACTATTTACGATATTTTCTCTACTGGTTTAATTTTTTACTTTTGATGGAAATAAGCATTTTCTCATTTATATTTTTATTCATTAATGTAATATTATTTTTTTTTTTGCAAATATCAGAAATTATGTTACCAATCGAGTTTTCATGCATTTTTTGCGTACCTTAGTACTCAAAATGAGTATTAGATTTGTTAATCAAACTTATATCGAATACCCAGTTTCTGGTTCTGCCTGATATGATCTACAACTAAAAAATTATGCCATTATCATTAATTTCACCATCAGAAAACGATTTTATTCTTAAAGGAGTTGATGATAATATTCGTGCTGATGGAAGAGGACGATTAGATTATCGTCAAGTTGATTTAGAAACTGGAGTTATTCCACAAGCAAGTGGTAGTGCTAGGTGTAGACTTGGGGTAGGAACTGATGTTTTGGTCGGAGTAAAAATTGAGATTGGTGCAATAGAAATTGATGGCAACTATGAACAAGTTGTGGAAATTAAATCAAAAAGAGGTAGAGTTGTTTGTAGTGTAGAATGGTGAGTAAGTAATTGAATGGTAGTGACAAAAAAAAAGATTTTTGAATGTGAATGTGATTGATCAAATAAAAAATTTATTATTAATTTCAATAATTTCAAGTTTAATAGTTCACCAATAGCATCACAACAATTTGCAGGAAGAGGAGCAGAAGATATTAATAATGAACTTACCCAAACAATAGAACGAATTTTTAATGGACCACAGGGTGGTTTAAATCTTGAGAAACTATGTATTATTCCAGGTCAACAATGTTGGGTTGTTTATATTGATGCCATGGTATATCTCTTAAAAGAGTTTATATAAAAATTTTTTTTATCATTACATTTTAATTCTTCTCTCATATTCCGCTTCAACAACAACAAAAAAAGGTTCTAGATTATGCAGGTAATCTTTTAGATACAATTTTCATAACTACACGTGCAGCACTTTATAATGCAAGAGTACCAAAGACTACTATTCAAGATCATGGAGATGGTGAAATCGAGGTTGATATATCAGAAGATGTTGAGGAATGGGAAAGAATATATGGATGGGACATGGTACCAATTGGTGTTACTTTAAATAGAGTTTGTATATGGTTCATTTTTTTTAGAGATATTATGGTTTAGAGGCATTTAATTAATTAATATATATAATTATTCAGATTGGAGCAAGACATATAGTTGATGCTACACCTTTGGAAGAACTTGCAACAGAAACAAAATTATTGGTAACTGTTAATAAAATGGGAAAAATATGTGGAATACAAAAAAGTGGTAGTGGTTGTATTGAACCAAGTCTTTTGAAGGAAATGGTACAGGTAATGATAAAGATGATATATCATCATCATCATCATCATCATCTTCATCATCTTCATCATCATCATCTTCATCATCATCATCATCATCATCATCATATTGTTATTATTTAATAAATGTAAATTTATGTGTCTTGTATAGACTGGAAGAACTATAGGATTAGGTTTAATAGATAGTTTGGATTCTATGCTTAAACAAGAAGAAGAAGAAATAAATAAAAAACATGCAAGAAGAGAACCAATTGACCAACTTGGATTTTTTGCAACTACTTGATTTTTAATTATATATATAGTAGATCAGAACTTTTATAAAGAAAGGCAATATATATAATTTATTGAATAAAGAATTTTTTAAGACAATAATTACATTTAAATAATCCTTTGTATATGCAAAAAACTCAATTTTGATCTAGAGGCCTTATACACAGAAATCCCCCTACTTGTTATATAACATATATTGTCAATGTGATTGAAAGTAGGTAGTGAAAAGTATAGTTCACACTTCTATAATGACTCTTCCTATAACAAACACTAAATAAAATCACACTATAATGAACTTCTTTTTCATTTTTTTATTATTTCTCTATAGCAAACAAAAGGCACAAAAAATATACAGCCTAAAATTTCATTATAGAGTGTGAACTGCATGATAAGCTTATAGAAATACTAAGCTTAAATCTACTTGTAAGAATCATAATATTGAAGGCAAAAAAACAAAATAAACTTATCTCAATATACATATTTAACAATTCCATTGATGTTGATCTAATTTATTAATTTGTTGTTTAAAAAAATGTTTTTTTACATCACCCACACACTTTCAATAAATATCGTTGTTATCTATAAATATTAATAATAAATATTTAATATAGTTTGTTTGTTGATTGTACACTTCTGGTTTCTTAAAAAATTTGGTTGCAAGCAAAAATGGGTTTCAAGTCGAGCCATAAGTTCTCCTAAGAAAGACAGCTTTTTAGTATAAGTAAACTTAATTGCCAAGAGGTATTTTATGTAGATAGATACAAAATTCTCAATTAGAATCAGCAAGTCGTTATCGAGAGCCTTCAAGTATCAGCTACTTTTTTCTTTTAAGAATGGGGCCATTTTTTATCATAACATATTAAATATGGTCTATGATAAGTTCCATTCAAAAACAATAGTAAAAAGCTCAAGTTCCATAAAATTTAAACTTCTTTGGGTTTTATTACAAACATTTGTGTCTTCGCTTTGTAGTAAGTCACTCATTATGGCCTTTTTTTTTACTAATCATGGGCTCATTCAACCAAAACTGGGTATCGTTTAACCGTAAACAATATGGCTTTGTATCTATTTATATTATGTTGTTAATATTAAATAAAACGAACAACTTGGATAAATTTTAATTCGAATAATTTTTTCGAATAATTTTTTTAATTCGAATAATTAAACCTTAATTTTGACCTATTACTCTAAGTCTATATAGTTTAATACGTTTTAATAGGGTTCTATGATTATGTTGTGCGTGAAAATGAAATTAATGGCACACCATGCTGGACAAAAGTGTACTTACTATTACATTTTGTTGTAAATAATTGCGTAAATAATCGACAATCATTTTGACAAGCCTGAAAACAATTTAGACATCCATCTATAATTGCAACAAAATGTAGTACACTTTTGTCCAGCATGGCGTGCCATGGAAATTTATGTGAATTTTGCAACTCGCGTATGTGAAATTCAAATTAGCCAATCAGAATTTCATATCCAAACACCCCACCCAATCAATTAATACTCAAAGGTTACTTATTACATACATTATTTACTTTTTGCATTATTAAAGATTCGAAGACGTGTCATACTTTACTACTACCATGTCTCCCGGTATTAGTATTAGTATTAGGGAAAATTCTACCGAATATTATATTTAGTTCCGATTATTTATTTTATTTATAATTTTTAGTTTTCTATATAAAATATTATTTCTTTAGTAAAAATGTACATATTCAACATTAATCTTCCAAGATGATTTTGTATGTACATTAATAACTTAAAATATCACAATAATCTATCATAAAAACTTTTGAAAATTATGTTTAATCTAATAAATTAATTTTTAGGCGGGATAGCATATTTCTATTTAAATTGTCGAGTTTGTTTGGTTCGATGCGTCGTCGCCAGTTCATATTATCGATCGCACTGATTTTGATCATCTCCATACAATTTAGATGGATAATACTCATGATACTTGTTTTGTTGTTGTTGTGAAGATGATGATGATGGTTGCGATGGTGGCTGTTGCTGTGGATGATGGTTATGAAATTGTTGCTGTTGCTGAAGAAAATGACGTTGGTTACTTGATGTTGGTTGAGGAAGTGTTGGTGATGGTGTTTCATGTTGTTGTTGAAGAGGTTGCAGCAAATTTTGATGTATTAGTTGATTCATTTGTTGATGAGATTGCTGATTGGTTTGAGCCTGTTTTTGTTGATGGGCTTGTTGAGGTGGCATGAAATAAGGCATTCGTGAAAATTGGTCAATCCAAACATGCTGCGGACGAACTTGCTGAAAAATGTTTTGAGGTTGTTGATTTGATGTACTAGGCATAATAATATTAGATATTGATGGAAAAAATGTTTGCTGTTGTCTTCTTTGCGCAGTCATTTGTGCAACCACATCTTTTTGTTTTCTAGCCATTTCTTGTTGTATATGAATATGTTGTATTGATGGTATTAGTTGAGGTTGAAGTTGAGATGCTAATGCTGGTGTTGGCATATGATGGTGTGAAGAAAACGGTTGACCTGAAGTCATGTATTGTGGTAATTGTGTAGTTAATGATGAAATTGGTGAAAGAATGTTTTGCTTGTTCCCTTCATTTGATGTTGAAGTACTACTATGCAAATTTGTATTTTTTTGTAGTTGTTGTTGTAAAATATAAGGATTTTCATTATTATTTTTGTTAATGTTATCATTATCATTTATATTTATTCTTTCATCATCACCATTACTACTGTTACTATGGCCATAACGTGATATGGGTTCATCAGTTTCATTCAACACAAATGCCACAGAATTTTTTGTTGCAGGTTGAACTGATGATACTTTGGTAGCAATAGGCGGAGTTGAGGATATTTTCATTATCGATTTCTGTGGTTCAGAATCATGATGGTATGATGATGTATGTGATGATAATAAGTTTAATCTGTTTGGTAATTTTGTGGCCATTATTCGTTCAGATGGTGTTGACAAAAAGTTATTTTGTGAATTTTGAAAATGAAAAGATGATCGTTCTTCGATATTAGTCAAATGGGAAGAAGATATTCTATTTTGGTGAATATTAGTGGCTCTCGGATTAACAACAGAAGTTTCATTATTTTTAACCCTTTGTATTATATTAGTGTTTTGATTTGATTTTTCAGAAAATGTATTTTTTATAATATCATTATTTGCTGTTGAATTATTATGAGTGTTATTATTATCTAAATTATGTCTAATATAACTAGTATTATTATTTATTTGTTTTTCATAATAATTCTTAACCTGAACTTCAGATTTGGTTTTGATAAATTCAGAAATTCTTTTAAAATCTCTTCCATACAGATTCAATGATTGTTCAAATTGATTGATTTCTTTTTTATTCCAATATGATGATATCTTTTTGTGATGTGAGCCTGTAGTAGTACGATCTCCTGTGGTTGTTTTTTTACCTGAATCATCATCACCATCATCCTTGTCACCACCACTGCTGTCCATAATTTCATTTTGTTTTGGTCTGATTTTTCCTTTTGATGTATTATTATCATTAGGTAATACTACTACTTCATGATGCTGTTGCTGCGAAGGTTTTGAAAGAATAACTTGCCCATTCTCCAATGACATCATTGTAAGAACGCATGCTTCTTCATCAATACCAATATTGGATTGGCCCACTGCTAGTAACTTTTGTTGGGTTTGAAATAGATTTTCTGCATTACTTGTTTGAAAATTTTGTGAATCATATTTGTGCTTATTATTATCTACTGCTCGTGTAATATTATTATCAACATTTTTCACCATATTATTAATATTGTTCTTAGTGCTGTTATTGTTATTATTATTTGTAGAATAATCAAATTGTTCATTTGTAGAATTAGTTTTAGCAGCTTCATTAGGAGTTGCAGCCAAATAATATGGTAACTCAATATTAATATTTGTTGTTGTTGATGATGTTGTCGTTGAATGATTATTATTAGATTTTCTAGATTTAATACCACTATTTGCTGTGAGCATCCGCTGACCTCGACCATTTTTTGGAATTAATTCTTTTAAATTTAATGCTTTTTTGTTCTGATAATAATATAAAACACAATTTTTAAATGACTTATTTTCAATTGCTGCCACAATTTTCCCAAAATTTTTTGGATATAATTTAAATTGTTCATAGAAAGTTTCTTTTTCTTGACTTGTCCAATTAACATTAAAATCAACATTGATTTCATAAAATGAGATAGGATCTAAAACAAATGAATTATTATCAATAATACATGAATATTCTCTTCTTTTTTCACCTAATATCATTTGTGGTATTTTTGCCCATGTTTTAGCTATACGATCTGCTTCAGCAAATTGATTTAATATATCTTGCACTTCTGCATCAGATCTAACAACATCAGTTCTACGTTTTCCTCTGTTAAGTCTGACTGGCCATCTTGCTGCAAACCCAACTGTTGACCCACTATTGTCATCTTGTTTTAATTTTCCTTTGGAGTTAACTGAATTTTGAGCATTCTGTTTCCGAGTTTGAAAGAGCTCCTTCCATTCTTGCTGTAAGCCTGTTTCTTTTGATTTATCTTCTATTGAGCAATTTGAAACATAAAATATTTTTAATCGATTATGTTTATCAGTGTTTTGTTGAAAAAATGGATAATCATTTATATCATTATACAATTTCATAGGCCCTAGCAACAAATTATCAGAAAATCTAGAATTTGCTCTTTCCCTTAAAAATTCTTTATTTTGAGCATAAATATTTTCCCATAATTGTAGCTCATCATTGGATGTTTGAGAGGATTCTGACATTCTACTTTCATCATCATCATCATCATCATCATCATCATCATCATCATCATCATCATTATCATAGCAATTATCCGATTCTGGGCTTTCTTTTTTAATATAATAGATTTTTATATTATTATTAGATAAAGTTATTTCATTTGAAGGATAAGTGAGATGTGTATTTTCTTTAGAGTATTTATTAGTTGAAACTCCATTCTTTACACTTTTTTCCATTTGTGATTTGGTAACATTTTGTTGAATAATTTCCAAACTTTTATCATTATCTACCACTATTTTCTGATTATCACTATTTAATCTCATTTTTTCTTCACATTGCTTTTGAATTTCACTCAAAAGATTTTGATAATAATCAAGTTCATCCTCCACACATTCAAGTTGTACGCCAATAGAATTATTTTCAAATGCATGTTCTTTTAATTGCATAGATGATAATAATGATGGGACTTTATTAACTATTGGTAAAAATAAAGTTGATGATGATTCCTGTTGCAGTCCTTTTTCAGGAATAATATTTTGTTGAGTATCTGATATTAGATTTTTATTATTTTTATCATTTTTATTATTGAGATTTTGTTCAAGAATGTTATTATCATAAACTTTTGGTTCTTTATTTTCATCAATTGTAATGATTTTATTTTCATCATCATAATTGGCATTAAGCCTTTCGCTTGTTTCAACATATTCTTTGATTAATTTAAATTGATCAGAACTAACTGTCTTAATTCTTACTGTTGTTGTTTTTTGATTATCTATTATTTGAGAAGACAATTGCTGTTGCATATCAGTTCCACCAGAGCTAATTTCCATATCTTGGGATTGGTCTATTATATTTTCCGATAAATTAGCAGCAGCAGCAGCAGCACTATTACCACAACCAAAATCACCATTTTGAGATAATAATAATGATTCGTTATTTTCTTGATATTTGTTTGGTAATGTACAAAAACCAGGTTCAATACTTCGCCAACCTGTCCAACCGCCTTTTTGATTTTCATTTGCTTTTCGAAAATAATTTATGTTACTTAACTCATCATTATTCTTAAAACCTGGAAATTCATTATCAGAAATAATAATATTGTTATCATTATTACTTGCCTCCGAAACTTTTATATAATTTCTATTATCAAAATCTGTGGACAAATTGTTATCTTTATTACTATAATTAATATCATTGGTATTGTTAATATTGTTGTTGTTTTTGTTACTGTTATTATTATTACTATTACTATTACTATTATTATATTCTTTCTCGTAATGATAATCGTTCTTTATTTCTTCTTTGTAATTATTGTCATTATTCTTAATATCATCATTACCATTACCACTTGGACATCTTTGTATAGATATTTTTAAAGGTTTATTATGATCATATCTGAGATCGTGAGGAGTGGTATATCTGTAATTTTGTATTGATGATGGCGGCGGCGGTGGTGGTGGTGGTGGGTTATGACTGAAATCCCATTCTCTTAAAAATTTTTTTCTGTGATGATGAAATTCACGATAATCATAAGAATCATGTCGACCACCACCACCCCCATCTCGATCATAATGAGCTTGTGGTGATATGTTGTTTCCACGATATGAGTTATTACGTTCTCTATTATCACGATGTCTATTATCTCTTTCATGTTCTCTCTCTCTTGAGTAAGAAGGAAGAGGACTTCTTTCTCTTATCCAATCAGTCTCTCTTTCATCCTGATATCTATTATATACATTACGATGGTTGTTATATTGGTTTCCTGAGAACGGTGGAAAATACTCTCGATGTGGTGAGGGATTCATAGGCGGAAAGTTTTCTGGTGGGTCTCTACCATAATGCTGTTCCCAACCAAAACTCATTTTTGTGAATATCTATTATGTTTTTAATTATAATTATATAAAGAAATGGTTAGCGTGGTTAGAAATAAAGAGGGACATGCACGTTACACTTATCTAATCACTATATATATAGTAAAAAAAAAACATGATGCGGACAAATTTCTCTACATTAAATATATATCTTACTGGTTATGAGAAATGTGGATAATAATTGTAATTTTCAAGGTCAAACGTGACCCAGAAATTCTTTATATTAATATTAATATGTTTTAAAGGCCCAATGTGAGTTTCAATTAGTGCGAATAATATGAATAGTACGAGTACGATTACTTTACATTTAAACTCTAACAGGTGAAAAGGTTTTATTGTCTATTCTGCATTGTTTAAATATTTAAATAAAACAAATAAAATGCCATAGAGAATTTCATAGGTAAAATTACATATTTTTGGATGTGGTGTAAAAATGGACATTCTCACTAATTGAGTGCCTATGACCTCTAATATGATTATCCGGGATCCTGCCGAACATTTACCTCTTTTATCTCAAATAGCATTTGAATATATACGGTTGCCAATTTCTTCTTGTAGTGTAGAACGAAGTTTTTCTAAATATAATTGACAAAAATTTATCTGAAGAGTCTTTTACGAAGTTTAAATATGCTTTATTTTAATGGTAGTAATTTAGGACTTTTATTTGTAATATTTTTTAAATAAGAAAACATAACAAATTAAAAACTAATTTAATGGTCGCGTAACTATTCTTTCTGATTGCACACCACCAATCGTTTAACTACAGATTCGGTTTTTTTTTTTTTTGAAAAAATCATAAAACCGCGATATTATAACGAAAATTACGCAGAATATAGTTATAGTAATAGTAATAGTAATAGTAATAGTGATTTTTAATGTTTTTAGTCGGACGGAATTAGTGTTTCATCACCGCAGAAAAAATCATTGTACTGGGCAGTGTGTGAAATTGATTACGGGCGCGTGTGTTACATAAAAAATGCGCGCATTTTGTTGATCACCATCAAAAAATTTGTGTGTTGATTTTAACAATAATTGTTGATTGAAATAAAATAAAATTATACCTGAAAACATCAATAAAAGTATATATGTTTGTTAATAATAATAAATTAAATATTAATTAATATATGTATATATATTTTTTTTACATGAATTTTCTCCACAAATCCTGCTAATAGATTATTGGCTACCTTTAATGTAGCACACGCGCCCGCACTAGATTTCACGCACTGGATATAGGTGACAAGTATAATTCCCGAGGATAATCCTATCGGAAAATGCCCGCATTAGGTGGTGGTATGAAGAATCTATGTTTCAAATTTGGCGAGGATACATACGTAGCTGCACAAAGTGTATAAATTGGGAGTTTTTTTTTTCATATTAATATAAAGTTTCAAATGTTTACCACCAAAATTTTAATGATAATTGACTCCCTGAAAATGACTAACGTTCTGCAACTGATTAATATTAATAATATGTAAATTACCAAAAATTCTCCTCATCGCCCTTATACAATGGGTCTAAAGGATTTCTGATCATCATAAGATAATTTTATTATTTTTGTTTCGTAATATAATTAATAAAATAAAAAAAATACTCTTCCCTCTTTTTTTTTACAAATTTTTTTTTTTAAGAATGTATTATATAAAAATTTTATTTAATTCATCTTCCTAATTGATATATATTCGTGTATGATCTTTAATAAAGACCTCTCCTCTCATTATTAGGAAGAAAATAGATTTTATTCAACTCTTTCATTAGTATAACTCTCTTCATCATCACCTTCATTCTCGTCATTAATATTATGTGATTTTTGAATTTTTTTGGTGAATAATTCTTTCTCTAACTTTTTCAACTCCTTCATAAGTCTACGATATTCTTTCGATAACGATCTTAATTCATCTTCAGCCTCTTCATAAAGTTTTTCTTTGGATTCTTTATCAAGACTTGGATCTTTAAAATTGAACCTAGCAATATTTATTCGTGCTTTTTCACTCAAATTTTCAATAGGTATTTGTGGAGTTACTATACTTGTTGAGTAATGATGATAATGGTGATTTTGGTCTTCATCAAACAATTCTAAATCATCATGAAATTATTAATAAATTTATTATTTTATTATTATTTGTTCATCAATAATATTATTTATATATATATACCTTCAATTGTAACATCAGAATATGTTTCAGTTTTAGTATCTTCATCCATCAAATCAATTTCCGAAACATATCGCAATTTATGAGATTTTGGTGCGCTAGAATTGCTGGATTTGTGACGAATACTAGTAGCCTTTTCAGATTCAGAATAGAGTGAAATATTACTATGTCTTCTTTTCAAATATTTATGATTATTACGTTCTTGTTTTTGATGATTATGTGTGTTCACCATTGAAACTAAATCATCATCTTCATAATCATCATAACCACCATCGCCACCATCACCATCATCATTAGAGTTATAATCTAACTCTTTATTATTATTTGATTTATTAGTATTTACAGAATATGATGAAGATGATGACGATGGTTTTGAGAAAATATGTTTGCCTTTATTATTTGAAAAAGTGCGTGATGATTCTTTGTTTTTATTGTTAGAATGGTGTAAACTTGATGATCTTGTAGAGAGTCTTGATTTTGATGAGTGGAGATTGTGACCACTGTTGTTAAAATTTGCTTTTTTTTTATTTGATCGAATTGATGATGATAGAGGTGGAATATCTGAAAAAACTTTAATCTGTGTGCTATCTTTGTTTATATATCTTCTAGTAGCTGTTTTGGATGCTGCAAATGATCTACTTATTGACCTGTTACTTGTAGTAATGGTAGTAGTTCTGTGATTAGTCTCTGACTGTTCATTATCTTTTGATCTTCCTAGTGGATTTTTCCAATAATCCCATTTGAAACCTTTAAATGGTTCTCCATTATTTTGTATACATTTGAAAGCTCTAAAGACTCCAATATGCTCAAGGAATCCTGCTTTTTTTACAAAAGTCAAGTAGGGTTCATTATCCAATTTGAAGTGTTTTAATCCTTTGCATTCTACCACAGAACTTTAAAAAAAAAATAGATTATTAATTGGAAATATATTTAACATATATAAAAATATGAATGAATTTTGCACATACTATGTCATATCCTCAAAATATTTTACAAGGAAATTGCCTTCAAGTAACAATTGATCGAGATCACAATTAAAATCCATACTTTCATCCAGTTCATCATTCGGAACAATCTAAAGTAGAAACAGTTAATAATTTTATGATTCCAATAATTCATTTATTTCATGCAATAAAAAAACTTACCATTGCGGGCCACCAAAAACTAGCATTTTTATCCAAAGGGTCAACTATATAAATATAAAAACATTATGTGTGTGAGCATCTATTATTTTAAATATCTAAATATATATCTGGACAATAATATTTATATCTTTTTTTAAAAAAGGTTACCAAAAACGATATCTCTTCCTTTAAAATCTTGCCCTGATGATTCTTTACCATTTAATGTATCTTTTGATTTACGTGTTGATTTCCTAGAAGGTCTACTAGGTTGAATAATGAATCTTTTTGTCGCCTTTGTTGAACTCCTTGTAATTTTTTTAAATGCTTCTGTATTATTTTTAGAGGATTTAGTTTATTTCAGTCAAACCCAATACATAAAAATTTAAAAAAATTTATATAATTAATATGCATGTATATATATATATTACCCTCTTCTTCTTCCTCCTCCACCTGTACTTCTTCTACCTCTTCCTCATCTTCATCTTTTCCTTTTTCTTCATTAGATTTAAAATCATAACGAGTTTTAGATTGAGAATTATTGTGAGAATTAAATTTTCGTTTATTTGCATATTTTTTTTCCTCTTCCACTTCCACTTCATTCTCTTCAAGAATATATTTGGCAGACTTGGACTTCACACAAGATCTATTACGAGAATTAGATTTTCGTTTTTTTACATAATTTTTTTCTTCCAAATCTTTTTGTTCCTCATCATCTGATTCATTTTCCTCTCCATCGTTAGCTTTATACCTTTCAAAAATATCAGATTGAAATTTATTACGAGATCTGGATTTTTGTTCATTTATATGTTTTTTCCTTTCATCATTTTCATTTTCATCATTTTCCTCGTCAATACCTTCTTGTATATTATTTAATTGATCATTACTTCTATCATCATGTTGATCATCTTGAAAATCGATTTTTAAATTTTTTAATGGTAATATAATACTACCAGAATTAATAGTGCTAGAATTATTGATAATAATAACATTATCAATCTCATCCAAAACGACTTCTTTATCCGATTCTATTAATGATTGTTCAATGATATTTGATGAATCGTCTTCATCTTCATCTTCATCAAGATTTTTATTTTTATTATCATGGAGAAGAAGATTATGAAGACGATGGTGTACTCTGTTGTCAAGTTCCTCATCTCCAAATTCAATTATTTCAGAATTTTTGTTTTTATTAGTGTTATTTTTATTAATTTTTTCATTTGATTTGGAGATTTTTTTACTTCGTAACCTAATTAATAATTAACAAAATAATATAAACATTTAAGTATTTAGATATTTTTTATATAATTAGTCGGATGTAGTTGGGAAAAAAAATAGCTTTAATTCAATTTAGTTTTTATTAATTGAAAAAGTTTTTTTTAATCGAAAAAATTATTACTTTGTCTTTTCTTCGGAGGTGATCGATTCTTGTGAGTTATCGGATTCCTCGGGATGTAGTTGAATAGGTGATATAGAGGCACTCGTGTGAAAGAATTCACGTCGAAGACGTTCGTTTGTGCAATACCACAATTTATTAGTACCGTTCTTTTGAATTTTTATGACCATTAAGAAATTGAGTTAATAATTAGTAAAAAAAAGATGAAAATTTTAATTAAAGGTATATATAAAATAAAATTAATATAAAAATTAAAACGTACCGAAGAAGACGTCACAGTGGTCATGAGTATACTCGAAGAGAAGAAATTCTTTATATATTTAAATTATTAAATTATTAATATTACTATTACTATTCAATAAAAGAAAAATGTATATAGATTTATATATTATGTATGATATTTGAAAATACCTTTCTTTTAAAAATTTTTCTGAAAGAAAAAAAACTATTGTTTGAGAAAAGAAAAGTTGGAAAAAAAAAAATGATCCTAGCTTTTCAATATTTATATTACTGGGTGATGGAAAACATGATTGGTCGTCGGTTTGATTTTTTGTACTACTGTATGAATTTTAATTTGGAACGGTCTATCTGGACATTCGTTTTATCACTTGTGACAACATCGATAGTCGATCTTTTTTTATGTTGTGAAACTTGCTATTTTATAGAAAAAGTCGCGTGACTGCGCACAAAACCCATTTTATGGGAAGGGAAAATCATATTATTGATACATCGCTTTATATTTTGGTAAAACTTGATCAAATTGATTTCAATAGGTTACCTTAGAAATAAAAGTTTAAGGCTTCTGTGATCTTGTACGTCAGACTTTGACATTATTATTTATTTTTTTTTAAATATGAATGATGGGTAACATTTTGCTTTATCAATAAGTATTATTATACTTGCAGGTAAAACTTATTTTATATATACTCGCATTTATTTTTACATGTTTGATTAACTTATAACTTATTTTCAACTTTTTCTAATAATACAAAGATCATATCTTGATTTTTTTTACAATGCATTTAAAAATGAGGAGAATTTTTAAACAACAATAATGGGATATACTCGGGTTATAATTATAAAGTGATGTATACAATTTAAAAATATATTTAAAATATATTTCTTTTATATTTATATTATATTCAAATTCATATTCATATTCATATTCATATTCATATTTACACCACTGATTTATATTTATATAGAGGAAAATGACATATATATACAGTATTATATAATGGATGATAATTCATGATCCCACTAGTAATGAAGATAAAACATTGATTTGATGAAGTCAATGAAGAGTAAATAATATATTAGATTGTATAATGAAAAACCAAGTCCATGTATTAAAAAAACTCAGATAAAGAAATATTATATTAATATTTTTACTTATTTTACTTATCATATTACTTTTCAAATAAATCTGATTTTTAGTAAATTTGTGATGATAAACAGTCAATGAAATAAAATTTCCCACTATGCTAATGTGTATATATGTCCTTGCATCAACTCGAAATTCACTTGATTCTATTTGAAATTAAATTTCCTTCTCTCCGATATATAAATAATTTTAATTTTTGCGTGATATCTGGAAGGGAGATCGTCACAAAATTTAGCCAATGAAATCAAATGTCCATTGTGCTGACCATTAGGGATGTTAAATGGTTAAGTCGATTCGGTTTGGTTTAAAAACCGTGTCGAACCGGTTGAACCGTGGTGTGTCGATCATATACTTAAATCTGTTTGGTCAATTTTAACAACCATGGTTGATCATACACCAAATATGATTGGTTAATTTTAACAACCGCGATTTTTAAGAAATTTTTTATTTTTGACATGACAAAAAAAAAATCAAAAAATTAAAAACCAGATCAATTACTTATAATAAATTCATTGATTACAAATTCAGGAAAATAATTATTTCCAGGAAAATAATTATCATTACAATATAGAAAACTTAATTGACGATCTGTCTATGAATCGGTGAACTCTACATAAGGATCTGCGGAGGAAAAAATGTCTTAAATTTTGCTAATTGAACTTTGTATAAAAAAATGGTACTATACTTTTGTACTTTAAAATGATTTTTTTTATTTTGCGTTATGAAACTAATGTCAAAGAACATATTTGTGTATTTTTTTTTCAAGAATATCGAAAAAAAAGTGTTTACTCTTGGGAATGTAGAGATGAGTGAAATTTTTCATGTGAAAAATTTTTTATGTTTGTGTGACTGTTTTTAATTATTCGAATAAATTTATTCCAACTCTATTACTATTACTATTACTATTCATAATTGAATGATTGATAAACAAATAAATAAAAATTTTTTTTCTCAATATTTATGAATTGATTTATTAGATTATTATAATAATATAGAAGCATTGTTTTAATTAATTAGAGCTTGCAATTTCAGCTGCTTGTTTTTTGTGATGTTGATTAAATCTAGATATTATTTAAAACTTCAAACTATTTCAAAACTCTGAATTATTTTCGAAAATTTGAAACTCTGATACTGTTTTTAAAAACTCTTTTAAAATTTCAAATCTCCAAAACTTAAAAAAGAAAAATAACAGATACCATGAGTAATTAATGTAAGAAAGAGTCAATTAAATCTTTTTCAAAAACACTTTGCAAAAAAAAAAATAAAAAAATTTTTCATTTTTAAATTTTTAAAAATTTATCATGTGACAGGGGGGTATGGTGGAGATATTTCATAGACGGATCGTCAATTAAAAGTTTTGATTCTAAAAAAATGCTTAAATTTGATTGGTTATTATATAAATCAGATCAACAAACCAAGGTTTTAAGTTATGGTTCAACTGATCAGTTCCCATGGTTGGCTTAGTTTATCCTCAACCATAGTTGAGTCAACTGTTTAATATCCCTAGTGACCATTCAGGTTTGGTTTAAAAAAAAATTACACCAGTTTTGTATAAAATGTATAAATGCTAATATGGACATTTTAATTTTAATAAAACTTTACTGATATATACAATGCTTCCTTCACTTCATCTCACATGGGACTAATTATTCTCTGAATATTTCTTAACTGATTCTCTAAACAATCCTTAACAGTTTTCTTGTAATTAATCATCACAGTTAATATGATTATATAATTTAAAACAAAAAAAAAATAATAATTGGAATAGTGTTACTATTAAGGTTGTGAGCAAAAACTCCTTAGTAATTGCTGAAACCACAGCAAAACTATTAAATCTTATCAAAAATCCTGTTGAAACTATGCCAAAATGGCAAAACCTCAAAATGCAAAACTCTGCCAAAACTTAATAAACAATTAATGTGTGACCTGCTGAAACCCTGCTGATTGATTTCTGGAGGAGTTTCAACAAGCAACCTTAGTTACTATATAATATTATTGTCTTTAGGGCATACAAAATATCACAATTTCTTACAGAAAAGGCAACAATTAAATTTTGAGATGTGATTGTGATTATTCCAGATTCAATTTCCATCTAGAGTAATATCCTGAATGTACAGGATAGGAAAACTCTGTTCTGTATAAGTTCCTGATCATATTAACACGAATCTCAAAAGTTGACTTATTCTATTTAGGAAATGATTTATAAAACCTAACCAAAAATGTCTTAGTGGTTCCATGTGAATTTTTCTGTTTACTTTGGTTTTGAATTTTAAAGTACTTTTAAATCAAAGAGTTTTCCTAGTCTTGTACTATTGTCACTGATTAAATTTGGGAGAGTGTATTTTTAATTGGTGATAACAATTATTTTTGTTTTTGTGTGGATCAGAATGAATAGGGGATCAATGAATTGATTTTGGTATTAGCGAATAATTTTGGTTAAAGATAAAAGTTTTATTTAAATAAAATATTTCTATTTTTTTTATTTAGTTGAAACTAATTAACAAAGTTTTCCTTAGTTGAAACTAATTAACTTATCACAAAGTTATTAAACTAAGACAAAGTTTTCCTTAGTTGAAACTAATTTATTAACTTATTACCAAATTAATTTTTATTATGAAACTTTAAGACAAAGTTATTTTACAAGCAAGTTGAATTTGAGCTTCTTTTATACAATTAAATTAATTAGTAACAACTTCATTGCAATCT